TGACAGTGTGGATCCTGCTTGGGATTCTCTCTCTCTCTCTCTCTCTCTCTCATAAAAATAAATAAATAAATAAACTTAAAAGAATGAGACTTTTATATATTGATTTGGATCTTGCAACTTTACTGAATTTATGAGTTCCAACACTTTTTTGGTGGAATATTTAGGGTTTTCTATATATAATATCCTGTCATCTATAAATAGTTTCTTTTTTTAAATATTTTTTTAATGTTTTATTTATTTCTGAGAGAGAAAGAGAGAGAGAGAGTGTGTGTGAGCAGGAGAGGGCCAGAGAGAGGGAAATACAGAATCTGAAACAGGTTCCAAGCTCTGAGCTAGCTGTCAGCACAGAGCCCGACACAGGGCTTGAACCCACGAACTGTGTGGATCATGACCCGAGCTGAAGTTGGACGCTTTACCAACTGAGCCACCCAGGTGCCCCAATAGTAACAGTTTCACTTCTTCCTTTCCAATTTAGATGCCTTTTATTTCTTGTCTAATTGCTCTGGCTAGAATTTCCAAGATGGTATTGAATAAAAATGGCAAAAGGGGGCATCTTTGTCTTGTTCCTGATCTTAAAGGAAACACTTTCAAGTTTTTATTGTTGAGTTTGTTAGCTGTTGGCTTGTCATAAATGTGGCCATTATTATGTTGGGATATGTTTCCTCTATACCCACTTTGCTGAGAGTTTTTATCATAAATGGGTATTGGAGAGGCACCTGGGTGGCTCAGGTGGTTGAGCATCTGACTTCAAACTCCGCACGGGGCTCACTGCTGTCAGCCTGTCAGCACAAAGTTTGCTTCAGATCCTCTCTCCCTCTCTCTCTGTCCCTGACCTGCTTGCTCTCTCCCAAAAAATAAATATATTTAAAAAAAAATTAATAAGTAAAAATTAATGGATATTGGATTGCAACTTATTCTGAAATATATAAAAGATTGGATGGATGTACAGATGATAAAGCAAATAGAGCAAGCATTAAGTATAGAATAACTGGTGGATATACTGATGATCGCTGAACAATTATTTCAAGTGTTTTGTATGCCTGAAGATTTTTGTAATGCTTATAAGAATTATATAGTATATCAGAAGGTGCTAACTATTCTGGCAAAAAATTAAGACATTGAAGGGAGGATAGGGAGTAACTGGGGTGGGGGAATGATCTTAAGATCATTCAGGAAAGCCTCCCTGAGGAGACCTGAGAGCCACACAGAGACCTTGGGTAAGAAAGCTCAGGGCAAAGGGAAGAGGAAGTACTGAAAGGCCCTGGGGCACAAGTGTATCCGATTCTGGAACAGTGAGGAGGCCAGTGTAGCTGAAGCCTAGGGGGCAAAGGTGAGGGTAGGAAGCAGATCCCACAAGCCTCCTGGGCCACTGTTCAGCCTTTGATTTTTGGTCTGAATGAGTAGTGCACAGAATCAGCTGACCCAACTCCCGTGCACAGGAAAGCTGCTGTCAGTGTAGTGGGACCCAAATGAGGCAGCAAAGCCAAAGCGAGGAGACCAGAGGGGAGATGCTGACAGCAGTCAGGCAAGAGATGATGGCGGCTCTGGCCCGAGGGCAGTGGTGGAAGTGGTGAGAACTGATCAGATTTGCGAGATATTTTGAATGTGAACCAGCAGGGTTTGGGCATGGACTGGATATGTGGGTGGTGAAGGAAAGAAAGGAGTCCAAGATAACACAGATGGAGACAGAGAAGATTACAATTGGTGCATATTTTAGGGGAAGAACATGGGTTGATTTGAGGGAAGCTAAATTTTGAGATGTCTGCTAGGCTTTCAAGTAGGCATGGAATAGACTAGGCCTTGGATTCCGTGATGCGGAGAGGAGGAAGCAGTGGGAAAGAAACCAGAGCTGGAGGAGGGAGTGTCAGTCCTGCTGATTGGTCAGGTTAAGAGCAAGAGCGAGCACAGACCTTGGAATTTGAGGGATGGGCCCCTCCCCCACCATGGCCTCAGCCTAGGGCTTAGTCTGGAGGAGAGGTGTAACCATTTTCCCCAAGGCCATGGTGGAACCTAGTTCTTTGGCTGCACTTAGTGGCTCTGATTATACTCTGCTGTAACTTTGTGTTTGTGAGATTTATCCATTTTGACACAGCTCTAGATCAAGAGTCAGCAAACTAAAGCCTCAGGTCAAATCTGTTTTAGCAAATAAAGTTTTAGTGGGACACAACCATGCCCTTTAGGGGTCAAAGGCTGCTTCCACGCTCCAACAGAAAGGAGTAGTTGCTGAGGATCACATGGCTTGGAAAGTCTGTCTGGCCTTTTGAAGGGAAATTTTGCTGAGCCCTTCTCTCTCTCACCATGTGTTGCTGTTATAAGAATACCCAAGATCTTCAGTAGAACATGTAGGTGGCCCCAATTTTTTGCTGTTTTGAAAATGCTCCAATAAACATACTTAACTGTGCTCCTTTGAGGTCCTATGTTACACAGCAGGTGGAATTCCTGGTTTGTAGGATAAGGGCATCTTCAGTTTTGGTAGATTTTGCCAAATTGTTCTTCAGTGTGGTTGAAAGGTTTTACACTCCCATCAACAGTGTAGAGAGTTCCCATTTTCCCATCTTCCTCTAAAACATGGTATGATGTGTTGTCAGACTTTATGTTAGTTAGCAGTTTTCTGTTGTTTATGGATTCCTCTGCATCTTCTTGCTGTGAGTGGTAGTCATGCTCCTGATGCTGCTTGGGCCAGTGCTCTGGCTGGGACCTCAATACAAGGTTGCCTTGTATTCAGTGACAAAATTCGAAATTTTGTTCCTGGCTTTAAAGGAAATATGCTTACCATTTCACCATAGAGTGTGGTGTTTTACCATTAAGTTATGAGGTTTGCTGCAGGTTTGTTTTTTGTTTGGTTGGTCTTGTGCTAGGGAGAACTCCCCTCGAAAACCATCTGGATCAATTTTTGGGGGGTATACCACTACTCACCTTGTCAATTTCTTTTTGAATTAGTCTTAGCAAATTATCTTTTTCTAGAAAATTGTCCATCTAATCTAAGTTAACTTAGATTAACTTAGATTAAGTTAACTCATCTAAGCTATAACTCTTCTACAAGCTGCTTTAGTTGCCTTCCCCCAACCCTGAGTTTTTATGTGTATTCCTCATTTGTAAAAATCTGACTACTTTTCATTTCAATAGGATTTCATCTTTGGGTAAAAAGTTTTTTAGTCCAAAAAAGTTTATATGTCCAAACATTTAGAATTTATTTGGGTCTGATCTGTGGTCATAGAATATGGTCTTTATGAAATTTATTTGATACCTGTTGAGATTCAAGTTGGGGCCATTTTTTTTAATGTTTTTTTTTTTTTTAACAAATAGTTTATTGTCAAGTTGTTTTCCATATAAAACCCAGTGCTCATCCCCACAAGTGCCCTCTTCCATGCACATCTCCCCCCTTCCCCTCCCCCCCACACCCATCAGTCCTCAGTTTGTTCTCAGTATTCAAGAGTCTTTCATGGAAGTTGGGGCCATTTTTTATGTCATTTTTTGGTAAATGTGTGCTTGAAAGTAACAGTATTGGGCTCAGGGTTTCATCAGGATTCATTGATATTATTATCTTTTTAAAAATTCTTCCAAATCTTTTTTTCTTAGTTTATTGTCAAGTTGGTTTCCATAGAACACCCAGTGCTCATCCAAACAAGTGCCCTCCTCCATGCCCATCACCCCCTTTCTCTCCCCCCCCCCACCCCCATCAGCCCTCAGTTTGTTCTCAGCATTCAAGAGTCTCTCATGGTTTGCTAATATCTTTCTATATCCTTTTTTGGCTGTTGGGTATATCAGTTACTGAAGGAAGTCTTAAATCTCTCACTATGATAGAAGATCTGGCAATTTCTCCTTGTATCCTATCCCTTTTGTTTTCTACGTGTCCAGTCTTTTAGACCTCTAACTTGTATGTTTTTGTATCATTTATGTACTAATCTTTTTACTTTTCTTCCTCTTTTTGTCTATGGGCAGTTACACTTGCTATAATTTTAGTGATCCCTTGTGTCTGAAGTACACACTTTCTGAATTTACAAAGCTTTGTAAATTATATCTTCATCCTGCCCCCCCCCCCCCCCCATATATCGAGCGTCTTAGAACCCTTGAACTGATTACTCTCTCTAGTCTTGTGGCCTGTGCTCCTTGTTTTGTAACTCCACAGATTAATCATCACTGTTCATGTTCCACTGTTTTTATTTACTTAACATGTTTCCCAGTTTACTCACTCACCATTCTTCTACCCTCTTCTCTTTAGAGTTCTGCAAACTCATTACAAAGTGTCAAGATGCTCCTTTTATTTATCCTGCTCTGGATTTTATGTAAGGGTCCTGGTCTTTAATCAAGTCTGGAAGCTCTTCCTCACGAACTCCCTCTCCCATTTTTCTCTTTTTGGAATTCTGATAGGACCAGTGGGTCTTCTCACTTCCCCATTCCTATCAATTTCCCCTTTAAAGAGGGTCTATCACCTTGGCTCCCTGGTTGCTTCCTTTCAGTCCTCTAGTTGAGTGACTTATCTTCTATTGTGTCTCATCTACTTCCTTGCTTGATCCTGTCAGGCTTGAATTTCAATAGCTTGTTCAATTCTAGAAATTCCTTTTAAAACCTCTGTGTTCCTTTTGAGCCTCTTGCTTTTATGTTTTAATCCCCCGCCCCTAGCTTTCTTCTTTCTCTAACCATGAGCTCCACGAAGGGGAGGTCTTTGGGTTTACTCGCATCATCACCCCCAGCGCCTCACACCATAGCTTGAAGGGAACGGACTCCGAGCGCGCTGTGGGATGACTTAGCACCAGTGGGAACAGAAAATGCTGAGCACCGGACTGGCCCGCGCGCTCCCCCGCTGACAGAGGTGGAGTCAGCCTGCTCAACGGCCCGCAGGCTTCCCAGCCTCTGCGTCCCGGCCTCGGGGAGATGGGACGGCAGCTCATGACGTCACAGGACTGTGACGCGTCCTGGAAGCCCCGCCCCTCCGCGGCGCTGGCCGCGAGTCCAGCTCTCTGCGCCATGACGTCAGGAGTCCAGGCGGGCGGGTTTTGCGTCGGCCCAATGGGAGCGGTGCGCCGGCCTCCCCTTTAAGGAATGTTGTGACCTGACGTCACCCGGGCTAGTTACCTCTCCGAGCCACAGCCGCCAGGCTCAGCTCGAGCCCCGGAGCCCTTGAGCGCAAGGCGCGGACCCCTGAATCTCAGCCAGAGCCCCAAGCCGCGCGCCCCGGAGCCCCGGCCTGCGCGCCCCGCCGGGCCCGAGCGATGCCCTCAGACCGGCCTTTCAAGCAGCGGCGGACCTTCGGTGAGGCCCAGCGGGCGGTCCGCGGACCCGGGGCGGAGGCGCAGGGTTGGGGGACGCGACTGACCCTGACTGCCGCAGGCGACGTCAGCTCTGTGACGTCAGACTCAGGCTGGACCCCCTGGGCCGGGAGGCAGGTTCAGGCCTGGGCTGGGGCCTCGCCTCCCAGTCCAGCTGGTGCCAGGCCCTGGGGCCTGACGGCCCTGGGGGCGGGGGCCCTGGGGGCGGGGCCGGCAACAGGCAAGGCGAAAGGCGAGCGGGACCTTTCGGCCTTACTGCCTGCCTCCTGTCCGCAGCCGACCGCTGTAAGGAGGTGCAGCAGATCCGCGACCAGCACCCCAGCAAGATCCCGGTGAGTCCCACCGCCCCCTCCCATCCCTGTGGCTCCAGACCCCGCCTGGCTCACGCATCCCTGCCCCACCCCTAGGTGATCATCGAGCGCTACAAGGGTGAGAAGCAGCTGCCCGTCTTGGACAAGACCAAGTTCCTGGTCCCAGACCATGTCAACATGAGCGAGTTGGTCAAGATCATCCGGTGCGTGGGCAGCAGCAGTCAGAAGGGGCTTGGGGCCTTCTGGGGAAGGACAGGACTTGGGCCCGAGCTTTGGATCCCTGTCCTAGGGAGGTTGGGTACAAGGTCAGGGCTGGGTTCATGGTCAGGTCAGAAGTGAGTGCCTACAGCCAGGGCTGGGATGGGTGTGGAGCAGACTCAATCATTGGGAAAGGGAGTGAGGGGGGTGGTCAGGGCTCCACCCACTCAGGAGCCAGGCCCCTCACAATTGACCTGACCTTCTGCCACCCCAGGCGCCGCCTGCAGCTGAACCCCACGCAGGCCTTCTTCCTGCTGGTGAACCAGCACAGCATGGTGAGCGTTTCTACACCCATCGCAGACATCTACGAGCAGGAGAAGGATGACGATGGCTTCCTCTACATGGTCTACGCCTCCCAGGAAACCTTCGGCTTCTGAGCCAGCAGTAGGGGGGGGCTGGTTGGCCTGGGAGTGGGGGGGCCCTGCCAGGCTCTACTCAGGGAGCTCCTGGCTCCTGAACTTAACTGTTTCTGCCCTGGGGCGGCTGGGCAGGGATGCTACCACCTAGCCTTGGGGCACCAACCGCACCTACTCTGTCCCAGGTGGGTCCTGGGCCAGTCAGTGTTAGGGTTGCCCCTTTGGGTGCTGGCTGGGATGGGGGAGGGTAGGGAAGAGTTCCCAGCACCCCTGCTCGCTGTGGTTTGTCCTTTTTTTTTTTTTTTTTAGGCCCCTGCCCATCTTCCCCTCCCTTACCTGAGGCGCTGCCCCCCTGCCTGGACCTGCCCACCCCTGAAGGACTGGCCCCTGGCTCACCTGGTCTTGACATGGTGTATGGATCTGTGGCATTGTCCCTCTGCAGAATAAAGATTGCTCAGGCCTGCCTGGCCGTTTGCCTCCAGCTGCTTGGGGAATGGTGGGTGGGGGCTGGGGGGGAGGTTAGAAAGCACTGTCCCATACCAGTCTCAGCTCCCCAGGGCACAGACTTGTGTGCTATGGACTTGGGGCTCATTCTAGAAACCCACACTGGTGTGGTACAGTAGTGGTAGGGGCCAAGCCCCCCCCTTCCAGGAGTGCAGTGTGGGCCCAGGATCGATTTCTTTGTAACAAAAAGAAAAATTTATTAAGTAGCCACAACCTAACAAACCCTGCTCACCTACTTCTCCCCCTTTCCAGCCTCGGAGGGGACACCCTGGTGTGCAGAGCCACGAAGTGGGGGTCCAAGTGGAGGAGTTCCTGGCTACTCCCCCTCGGCCTTGCAGTCAGCCATGGCTCCCCTCTGGTGCCAGAGATTTGTAGCCCTGGACTCGAACCTCATCTGCCAGAGGCCTCCTCTGGTGGCAACTCTGGCTAGAGGGCTTGGCCCAGCTTCTGGCCCTTATATCCCCTGAAATCCATGCAGCCCTGTGTCCAGCCAGGCCTACTTAAGCACAAGCATGGCCTCTGTGCCGTCCTTGGCAGTCAAGTAGAGACCGTGTGTGAGGTAGTACTCCCGTCGCAGGAAGGCATAGAAGTAATCAGAGATGAGCAGGATCTGGGGGGAGAAAGAAGGTGTGAGAAGCTGGAGGAACCTCCCCCAGAACCTTGGGTCTCTGAGGGGGTAGACAGGTGTTGGGGGGGATTCCCTGCATAGGAACTCCTACCTCAAGGCCTACAATTGCCCCACAAGGTCTTGCACTTCAGAAGCTGCCTGTACTGCCCCTCCCCACCCCTGAGCCACACCACGTTCATGCCACCTTCCTAGGCCCTGGCGTCTGCCTTCCAAAATGTACCTCTGCAGCCAGTGGCCATTGCGACCTCACCTCCTGGGTGCCCACAGCCTCCTCCATGGTATAGCTGGGCCCCCAGCCAAAGCTGCTGCTCCCACTGTAAACTCATACCCCCATCTTCCCTCCAGATGCTTAGGCCATAGAATCACCTGATACTTCTCCTCCTGGACACCAAGCCACTAAGTCCTGACAGTTTTATCTCCCAAACTCTCAGATCCACTCATTTCTACCTGTCCTTACAGCTACCACCCTGGACAAAGCCACTGTCATCTCAACAGCAGTCTCTGCTCTGGGCTACCTGGTCTCAAGCCCCCTGATCCTACCCGTCCATTCTCCCTCGCAGCCAGAGTTTGCTTTTCAAAATAAATCTAGTCCTATTACTTCCCAGCTAAAAGTCCTCCAAAGGCTTCCTTGAGCTCCTAGGATGAAGATCAGACTCTTTTAGGGACTCTGACCCCTTGTGCCTGGTCCCTGCCCCATGTGTACTGCTCACCCTCTCACCTGCTCCACCTCACTCAGCTCCAGCAACACAGGCCTCTTTTGCTGCAGGATCTCTGCTGTTTCCTCTGCCTGAAATGTTGTCTTTCCTTTCATCCAGCCAACATCTGCTTACCCTTCAGTTCTCAGGAAAGCTCGCTTCCTTAGAGAAGCTCTCCCATCCCCCCAGATTGGGTCTTGGCCCCATTAACCTCTACTTTGTAACACAAACTCATCCAAATTGCAGTCTTTCTTTCATCTGTGTGACTGCATGATGACTGTGGCTCCCCAGGACTGCACAGGGTCCTCAAGGCCTTCTGCCACTATGGTATCCATGACCAGCTCAGTCGGCCTTTCCTGGATGGGCCACAGAATCAAAAGGGCCCCAAAGTTCAGTACCATCCCTCTCACAGAGGCCCACAGAGGCACAAGGACTTGTGCTGTTTTACAATCCCATCCATCCAAAGACTCCCAGTGCCTGCGGCAGGAGAGACAGAGCCCTGCCCCATGGCAGGGTGTGGAGAGAGGGGTTCACAACCCCAGTTCTCAGCCACTTAGAAGCCTCTTAGATCATCAGCATCAACCACCTGTTGGCACAGATGGGAGATGGAAGCCCAGTGGAGGGGGAACACCCAGCTAAGGGCTTAGAGCAGGTCAGAGGTTGAGCTGAGCCTGGCATCTTAGCCTCTGTTCTCTGGAGACCCCTGTCCTGGGCAGGAAGAACAACACGGAGGGTCCTGAAGAAGAGCTGAGGATCTATACTAGTGCTGGCCTCAGAACAAGGTCCTGCCTTTGTAGCACCAGAGGAACCCATCTGGAAGGCTGATGGTCCCCACCTTATAGACGAGGAAACAGGCACAAAAGGTTCAACAGTTGGCCTAAGACTACACATGAGATCTGGCCTAGTGGCCGTGACCCTGTAGCAAGGTGATGCACCTGGGGCCCAGTCTGCCACAGGGCAGAGAACTCACAGCTGAGGTTATCAGTGGAGCAGACAGTCCAGGGAGCCCCCAGCGCCTTGCCCCACAGCTGCCGGTGGTGGGCAGTTACCACAGCAAAGGCTGACCTCACATACTGCAGCCCCTTTCTCACCTAGGCCCAAGGTGCCCAGTCTAGAGCTGTGGTTAAGCTGGGAGCCAGATCTGATGAGGATCAAATGCAAAGTCACAATTAACAACAAAACAAATGGACCAACTCCAGTGTCACAAAAAATCAGCACAAGGATTAGAAAGTCAGAATACTAGGTATTAGGTTGAACCATATGAAATGTCCATGTTTGTAGATCAAAAATGGTTGAATATTGTTAAGTTCATATAGTTTAATTTAATATAAAGGGAAAAAATAGAGTATGCATGTTATTTACAAGTAACAAAACAAACAACTAAGGCCTTAGGGAACCATTCTTTTTCCTTATAATCCTTAACATTGTAAATTATGTATATGTATGATGTCGATTAAAGAAATCAGTTAAAAGCAACCAGCCAATAAATGACTGAATAAATAAATAAATGAGAGAGAATTGCTTTTGGAATCCTTACATAAGAATTCCCAACAACATACCTCATCCAGGAGGTAGAACTTAGTTTTTGCCTACTCCCCACCCTCTGCCCCCAAGGGTGGGATAGACAAGGTAACTCACTTCCAAAGAACAGAGCAGGGGAAGAGAAAATAGTAATTCTACACTAGAGAAGCCTGCAAACACTGTCTTGAACAAATGAAGGGTAACGTCGTCATGAAATCAGGTGGCTAGTATGTACCGCCTGAGCATTCCAAAAGTCCAAACCCCCAACTTATGATAAGAAAAGCATCAGATAAACCCAAAGTTGGGACACTCTATAGGATACTTAGCCAATGCATTTCAAGACTGTCCAGGTCACGAGAACTTAGGAAAGATAGAGGAAGCAGGCAGAGGACATGGGGGAGACAGGACACTTTAACGTGGTCCCCTGGCTTGGATCCTGGGTGTGGAGCATAGGGGAACTTTCTGTATCTTAAGTTATTCTAGGATTTAAAAGTTTATTTTAAAAAAGCAATGTATTATTTGCAGCTATATAAATGAACCTCAAAAATATTTTGTTGCTGGGGTGCCTGAGTTAAGTGTCCAACTCTTGATTTCAGTTTAGGTCATGATCTCACAGTTCGTGGGACTGAGCCCTGATTGAGCTCTGAGCTGACAGCGCAGAACCTGCCTGGGATTTTCTCTCTCCCTCTCTCTTTTCTTTCCCCACTCACGCATGTATGTGCATGTTCTCTCTCAAAATAAATAAAATTTTTGCTGACTGAAAGGCAGCTTCAGAAAATGTACATGTTAAGATTTGTGTTTTTCATCTTATAAAAATTTCATATAAGAAAAATTAAGTACTGATCTCTGGTTAATAATATACATGCTAAGGTATTTAGCAGTAAATGTATTGATATCTATACTTTGTGTGTTTTTTTTAATTTAAATCTAAATTAGTTAACATATAGTATAATAATGATTAAAATAAGGGACTGAGGAATGGATTATTTGTGATCACAAAAGTATAGTAAAATGTTAATGGTAGAGTCTAGGTGGTAGGTATAGGGGTGTTTAATGTTAAATCTTTCAAGTTTGCTGTGTCTGTGAAAATTTTCATGATAAAGTGTCAGGGGAAGGTGGTATGGAAGGAAGAGTCCTGTGTGCTGGCTTGGTCTGTCTGGAACCAAAGGTCAGTGTTCCTGATTGGGTGCCCTGCCCCTGGCCCACAGGGAAGGCATCTTGGGGACACCAGGCTGGCCTGGAGGCTTGGCTCTTCCAGAGAGATACCTTCCCTGACACAACCTCCCTCTTCTGACCTTGGGGCTTTCTTTCCATTTGGGCTGAGAAGCAGGGATTTCAGGCCCTGGGATTCAGGCAACACAGCAGCTACAGACCCAGAGCCCCTTTGCCCAGTCCGGACAGAGGAAGTTGGGTGAGGAGCAGAGGCAAAAGCATGGGCAAGTTTGTGGCCATGTGACTCTATGTAAGTCACTTTCCCAAACCGAAGCTGCATTTTCCTCATCTATAAAGCCAGTGATAAAACTAGTTTACTCACGATGGTGATTCCCCCAGTCCTTGCTCTGTCCCTGTGTGTTGTCAGAGACCTGAAGAACAGCCCATTCTTTATTATTTTAAGACGACTCCACGCCCAATGTGGGGCTCGAACACATGACCCTGAGATCTAGGGTCACACACTCTACTGACTGAGCCGGACAGGCACCTGAGCAGCCTATTCTTTAGAGCTGTCCTCGAGAGCTGTGGATGGACCCTTTGGCCTCTCTCTTGCCATCAACCAAATCCTGCCAATCCCCTTCCTCAGACTTCCAACTCAGCCGCCTTTTATCCCTCCCACTGCCACCTCTTTCCAGAAGCCTCCTGCATCCTCCTGGCCCCTGAGGGATCTCTCTCGGTCTCTCAGTATCTGTCTGTTTCTCCATCCATCCTCCTGGCCCCTGAGGGATTGCTCTCAGTTTCTGTCTGTCTCCCTCTCACATACACACATGAATGAACCTTTCACTTGTCTGCTCAGAAGCCTGCGGTGCCCCATTCTGCCGCACACCACACCCACATGCCCCGGGAGCCCTGAACACAGCCTGGTCCTGCAAACACTGCATGGCCACACCTCACTGCCTCTGCTCCCACTCAGCCCTTGGGCTGGAATGGCTCTTCCCACCAAGAGCTCCTGCTTATCCCTAGAGAAGAATCATCTGCATCTCCTGCCCCAGAGTCTTCCCTAAATCCATACTCAGTTATATGATCCCTGAGATGAAGTCACTTCCTGTTGGCCTTCCAACCAAATGGGGTGGCATCTGCTCTAGATCTGTGACCTCAGACCCAGCAAAGGGCTGGCACTCTGTGTATGGTTTGCTGGTTCCCCTGCCCCTGGAAGGGCTCAGTCAGACCACATTTTTCTCACCGGCAGCCATGATGGTCCAGCACTATCCTTTGGGACATGATGAAAATTTAATGAGGTAGTTGATAAAAGGATGACCAGGGACAGGGAGGGGCACTTCACAAGTGGAATAAAATGGTTAGAACATGCTCCATTACAAGGTGGGGAAGTGGAGAGATGGAAACCAACAATATTTGGGTAGCTGCTTTGGACCAGGCTCTTTAGTAAAAAAGCATCATTAGGGGGTTAGGGGATGGGCAAAATGGGTGAAGAGGAGTGGGAAGCACAGGCTTCCCATCATGGAATGAAAAGTCCAGGGGATGAAAGGTATAGCACAGGGACTAGTCAATGGTGCTGTAATAGCGCTGTGTGAGGACAGCTCAGAGCCTGGAACC